TGTGTGTTTGTACCTGACGGCGTCTCAGAAGAAGTTCTTGATGAGCGGCGTCACCAGCTTCACCCACAGCTTGACGTGGCGGTCGGGCCGCTCGAACGTGGAGCTGGACACCTCCGTGGAGCGCCGGTACAGCGTCTCCTGCTCCTGGGAGTTTCAAAACACAGGTGTGCGTTCAGTAAGCGGTTAGGCGCTCATTCATCATGGCGTCTCGCTGTGCTTTGAGGAAACAAAGAGCCGACCTCCTGCAGCTGGCTCTGCAGCTCCTCGTTCTCCGTTACTATGGCGATCTGGGCCTCCAGGTCACGGTGAACCGAGCGGTAACCGAAATTAGGGGAGCCAATTAGAGTGAGGCAAGGCCGGTCCTGCCCCTGGAGGTAATACCACAGACCTGCAGGAGAGGAAAAGTGGAGTGAGCCAGTGAGGAGGTAATGCTTCAGAGAGCCGCTTCCAGCAGAGACTTCTGTCGGCCCCAAACCACAACTAAAAGGAAGCACATGCAGAAATCCCCAGCGTCGATCCAAAACCCGAAAATATGAGAGAGAGTGAGTGTGCATCCTCGTCCTGAGGCTACGACAGAGTGACTGTACAAGCCTTCGTCTCTCACGCTACATACCGCCGCGACCGCAAGAAGAACAGCAGAGCAGGCAGAGGACCAGCCACACTGTGTTTCAGCCAGTCGTGGCCCACATGGCAACATCTCATTAGATCCTGGACGGGGATTTGTGTGTAAATATAAAAAAACTACAACCAAATGCTGAAAATAGTTTTTCACTTTTCAAGAGAGGATGAAACAAATGTTGGACGTATTAATGGAAACTGACAACAGAGCCTCAAACACTGACCTCTGTCGAGTTCTGGTAACGTTAGCGATCAATCAGCGGAGTTTTCAGCCCAAAAACCACAACAATGGAAGAATTTATGTTCAACTTCGCGTTCCTGGCTCAGTGTGGGAGACGCTGCAGAAACCTTCTTGTTTTTGGCGATTACAGTTTTTACAAAAACACACAAGTCGAAAACAAACACGGAGGAGATGCACCAGTGTGTTGACTTAATTTCGACACTTCCTGATCTCTGAAACGGCCTCGTATTGGCTCTGATGTTCTTATAAATCTGGAGCCACATTTATTAAACAGTGCAAAGAAAAAAACTGCACATAAAACAACTGATATTTCTTGTACGACCGGTCATATTAACAGAACAAACGCTGCAAATCAAATGACTGTTGTGGGGCTCAATGGCACCGAAAAAGAACAAAGAGAAAAACCGCAGAGAGAAAAAACTTGACTGACAATGAGGTGGAGGTCCTGATTAATGAGGTTAAGATAACAAAACATTATTTAGAATTTCTCTGGAGGACTATTAAATAGGAAAACGGACAACAGGTGACTACAGAAGTCGATGCCATTTCCCGCAGAGGTTAAAGAAACTAGATGAAAAAGAAAAAAGCAAACAACTGCCACAGGAGAAGGAGGGTAATCCACCTCGTCATTATCGCCCCGTGGTTCATCGGTGATTCATCCTTTACAGGAATCATTATTAAAGGTGAATCTTCCCTATTGTATGTTGTGGTCTGGTTGCGGTGAGAGTTGTGTAGCTTCAGTTACACTCAAACAACTGAAATTATTTTTATTCAACCTCCAACCGACGGTTCTGAAATCCTCCCTGAAAAAAAAAAAACAAAAAAAAACTTTTCCACAAGATTACGGTCCGTTTGTTTCCAACAATCTGTGACTTTTATAGGATTTGACCTCAGTTTAATGAGCCTAAATCATCTCTGAGGCTCTAGTTTCTGCATCGGCGAGTGTGTGAGGTTTCAGATATCGCAAATTTGGTCATCAAAGGGTTCATTTAACGCCCTGTGTGTCCAGTTTTTGTGCCTACAAGAGCATCAAACGTAGAACATAGACGCCAATTACCTGCATGTGTGGAACCTCAGAGAAGCCACTATACAACAGGACAGTTTATCTAATGAACCGTATTCAGCAGCATGATTTCAACTGATTGATCTGGAGGTTTAAACCTTTTCTAAGAGAGAAACCTGGATGTGAACCATCAACCAGGTGCTTCTACATTAAAGCTCTCTCTCTCTCTCTCAGACGGCTGATAAATGACGCCTCTGGTGTTGCTGACGGCTGTTTCCACCAGTGCAGAAGCCGCTGTGATTTTAGGAGCTTCGTCTTCCTACACGTCGAGCCACGTGTTCGTGAAAGCTGGCCACAGACTAACTACCTGCAGGGAAACACTTGAAGCTCCTGATCCACTAGAACGGGTTCTACAGGCGAAACAAGCCAAAACAGGCTCCTCATGTGAACATACATGTATGATGCTTTTCTGTACATACGGAAAGAAACAGCTGCTTCTTCTTCTTCTTCTGAGGCTGTCAGACTGTTGAACTCTGTAGCCTCACACCACCATCACACACGGACTGCACCAGCTGCACTTCATCCATATATGCACAATATTTTAACCACCAAGTGTAATATTACAACCCACCTCGCTGCTACACAAAGATTTAGTGCTAAACAACTGACCCGAGTACAAATTTCATACCACTAACACATGAATGTGAGCTGGCATGACAAAGAAAGTTCCTTAAATCCTTGATGTTCTGAGAAATGTTGTGTTTAATCATCCAGACTGACTGACTAAGTGGAAAAACAACAAGTCTGTGAGCTTTAGTAGACGAGCTGCTCCGTGGTGCTCTTGTTCCACCCACCTTTGGCGTGGAAGGTCCACTGTGGTCTGTGGTACTCGTGCAGGTGGACCCTCTCCTGCTGGCCCAGCCGGCACACCTGGCTGTAGAACTGCCTGGCGATGTGGATGTAGGCGGCGGGGATCGCCCCGGCGACGCCTTTGGCCCCGAAGAACCCGTTGACCTCCGGGGAGGCGGTGAGGATGCGGTAGCTGGCTCCGGCGCCGAGCACCAGCCGCATGTAGGCCCGGGTCAGGTTGAAGTAACCCGATGTTAGAAACACAGTGGAGTCCGGCCCGGCGTCTGTCAGCAGCCGCTGAGGGTCAACGACAGACAGAAAGTAAAGAGAGACGAGTTACAGCCGCGGCGTCGGTGCTTTAGTCCTCACACTGTGAAAACAGAACCGCTGACATGATCTGATTACTGGTCTCGTTTATTTTCATACTGATGAATTTACTCGTGTGATAAGATGCTTTTCATTACATGAGGAAATTATCCTCCTCATGTTTGCTCATGCACGATTAATTCATTACTTGATTGGTGGAACTTACTGTAGAAGCCGATAACGTAATAACGGCTAATAACATAAATATGTTTGCAGTTTTTAAAATATAGTAGGCCGATAACGTCATAAAAGTCCTGAACCGATAACATAATAACTTATTACGGCTTCTATACTTGCTTTTCTCAGTTTAATTATGTTTAAGAAAAGTGTTTTTTGCAAGTTGAGTAAATTTCGATCAGTGAGCGATTCTTGATTTCAGGAATTCCATCAATAAATGTTCCTTTTGTTCCTGTTTCTGGATTTTACTGGCGGTTATTCTAACAATCAGAGCCAGAAACAGATTTATTTTCAGGTATAGTTCACCCAATACGAGGAATTTGTTCTGGTGGGTCGGTGCAACAGTAAACATACAGTGAGGTACAATGCACAAGATGAAAACAAGATAAAAATAGCTAAAAAAAAATAAAAATAAAAGCAACTAAAAATAAAGACAGCTTTAGTAGCGCAAAGCAGAAGATAATGTGCAGTGAAGACTTAAGTTTAAATAAGAACCATAGAACTGTGGTATTATTAACAAGAGTGCAAGAGTAATAATTAGAAACAGATAAACGGCAAGAATAACAGCTGCATCAACTCTAATAAACAAGAACACGATAAATAATAATAAATATAATCGTGCAACAAACTAAAATTGCTGAATTTCTGCTCAGACAGTTGGATCTGGTTCCTGTTTATGCAATGACACGATATTACATTAGAGATAATTTATTGTCTTTACTGTGTGACTAATAAACGCTGTTCAAATATTTATCTGCGGTTTATTAATCAAACAGGAGCTTATTAGTCATCATCTGATTAAACACACATTCATTTATACGACGTGCGCTTCAGCAAAATGAGCCAAAAGCGAATTTTAGCGAAACCCTGAAGACACCAGCGAGCAAACGCTTTGACAGCTTGATGTGTTGTTTACTCGTTTTTGTCATTTTCAGCTCCCGAGTCGACCAATCAGAGGAGGACGGAGGCTCACCTGTGTGACCTGCTCGTCCACCTGGATGCCCAGAGGTTTCATCTGCACCAGAGGAAACACCCAGGTGTCCTCCTCCCCCTCGCTCAGGCCTTCGTCCTCCGAGTCCTCCGACCGGCTCAGCAGCCGCTGCCTCACGTGAGCCGTGTTCACCACCTCCATGATGCGCTCCCTCGCCGCCGCCGAGAAGTCCTGCCGGTTGCCTGGTTGCCGTGGAGACACAGCGTGTGAGTGACAAGTGGGAGGCGGGTCACGCCGACCTCTGGGTCACAGCGGCCTGGGTTTGTGCTGCTCGGTTTATGAGGTCTCGACGTCTTTTTCTTTCAGTTTTAGGGCGAAAATGTTGCAGGAAGGTTTGGTTTATGTTGAGGTAAGAGTTAGAGTGAGGGCAGCGGTAGTTATGGTCACGGTTAAAGTACGTCTGTGTCAGTGTAAAGACCTCTGAAGTGATGGAAACACTAGTGGCATAAAGTACAAAAAGAGGAAACAGAGCAAGACGTCCGCTTAAGAGCTTGTTTCCAGTTGGTTGTCAAAGGGCCATTAAAGTAGCAGCATGTCAGGATTAAAGGGTCGCCCACAATTACAAAAATGATCCAAGAAACACAAAAGTAGGAGTCCAGTGTGTCCACTGTTCCAAGTCCACGTTAAAGGTAGTTATTCTGTCCCACCTGCCTGAAAATCTGAAGTCCAGGCTGTTCTTCTGTTACTTATCTACATCTACGCCTGTCAACAGCTAGTTTAGCCCTCAAACAAAGAATGAGCAGCTTCATCACAGTTCAAGAGCTCATTTGCAAAAACAGATACAGTCGTGACTCGATAATCCGACCCTTTACAATCCTAAACCTTGCTATCCCACAGGTTTTTAGAAAAAAGAAACCCATTAAAAACAGCCTTAACATACCGACAGCCTTGGATTCCGACCCTGACATGACATTTAATGTCACCAATCAGGATAACGGCGTGTTATCTGACTGAACAATCCCACAGATTGGCTACGTTCACACTGCAGGACTTGATGCTACATTCAGATTCCACTGGAGAAATATTATCCAGCTTAATGTTGCTGTTTTTGCAGCACCGTAAGCATCGTAAATGTTTTTTTTATTATTATTAAACTGGAATAAAGGCAAACATGTCACCCACAGATTACTCTGAACCTTGGTGAATTAATTAAAAACAACCCTCATGCATGGATGACACACAGGCCTCTAAACCGGCACAAATCTCTGCTTTATTAGCAATTCAAATACGTTTGTAGCTACGACCTTTAACATCTGTTTGCGTTGGTTAGAGACACTCACCAGAGCATAACAGCAGAATAAAGAATGAAACGTCCTCGTTGGCTGAATGAACAGATCGATTAAAAATAGCTAAAGTGAAATATTACGAATCCCTTTTCTCTCAGCATTTCAGGCCTTTCTATTGACAGAAAACGAGAGTTAAAGAAAACAGCGACGCCCAACAGCACTCAGCAAACAAACGACGCATTTCTTAGATCGCTGTGAAAAATGCAAAGAAAACATCTTTCAGACGTCTGACGCCAAGAAAAACACCATCAGCAGGAAGAATCTATGTCAAGAACTGATTGACGCGGAAAAACAAACACGATACTGAACACAGTGGCGGAGCAGGTGAGCCAGGCGATCTGGTCGAGCATCTTCACAGGTGAGCGAGAACATTTACTTTTGTTCCGCGTGTGGGTGAAGTGACCCTTTATTCTGCAGGTAGCGGCGTGACAACAACACTTACAGCTTTATCGCCGACGTGCTGCAGATAAATTAGCTATTTTTGTGCCTCGACACGCTCGGCGGTGCGTACCGGTTCCCATCACATGTCTTCTTCCAGCAACACCGTGACATCACAACTCTATTCCTGGTGTTCGTTTCCATGGCGGTGCGCTCCTGCAGACATGATGTCATTCATCCCTCAAACTAACATCCTGGCAGCCTGCGCTCTGGTTACGGACACACTGTGTGAGTGTGTGTGAGTGTGTGTGTGTGTGTGTGTGTGTGTGTGTGTGTGTGTGTGCGCAGGCCAAATCCTGACAATTCCACATCCGGCTGCATGGCGAGCCAACCCCCAGAGCTCTCTACATCTTTCTCACAGAGCTCGTCTCTCCCACCAGCGTCTCTTCGCCTGTCTAAGCTTTCAAGCTCCATTAGCGGAGTCGGCCGGCTCCTGGTGCTGAAAACCACGCTGTAACCGAGCGCCGAGTGTCACGCGCTGTCAAAACATGTTGGAGGGTAAACATGCGTCTGTGTGCACACACGGGCGTGTTGGGTTTCTACCTTTGTACGGGTGCACCATCCCCTCCAGCATGGTGACCGAGTCGTCGGGCTGAAGCTGCAGGGACACGTCTCCCACGGCCTCCACCAGGTCGGAGAAGAAGTCGGCGACCTCCCTGCAGTTCTCCAGCAGCACATAGCGGTCCTGTCTGTTGGTGAAGTACGAGTCGCTCAGGTTGGCCCTGAAGAGTGACAGCGAGAGACGGATGTTTGAAGAAAGCGAGCGAGTGTCAGGGAGGAACGAGAAAAAGAACAAGTTCCTTTCTGTTCGCTGTTTAAACCCCTAAAAGCTCATCTGTGTACCAACGTTACATATTCATACGTTGTTCCATTTAGTCTCCACCTCTCTGGCTCATGCTGCAGCCCAAGCACACCAGCCATCCATCCATCATCTCTACACCTTAATCCTCACTAGGGTCGTGGGGGGCTGGAGTCTATCCCAGCTGACTCAGGGTGAAGGCAGGTTCACCTGGACAGGTAACCAGTCTATCACAGGGCCACACTTAGAGACAGACAACCAAGCACACTCACATTCACACCTATGGACAATTTACAATCACCAATTAACCTCAACATGTTTCTGGACTGTGGGAGGAAGCCGGAGAACCCGGAGAGAACCCACACTGCACGGGGAGAACACGGATACTCCACACAGAAAGATCCCGGGTGTCCTCATCAGGACGCCAGCCGGCAACCTTCTAGCTGTAAGCTGCTAACAACCGAGCCACCATGCAGCCCGAGCACACCAGCTTACCTGTAAATCAACCAAACATGTTTGAACCGGAAACCGATTCTGAAGAATGACGATGAGTCAACAAGAATCGGTTTCTCAGGAAACTATGGTTACATGAATCTGTTTTTGAGATTATCATCTGTTTGCTGCAGTTTCTAAGTAAGCTAAAAGGTGAAACACACCTGAATGGGGTTACAGGTCGGACTCTGGATGCTTAAGTTGCACCGCTGATGTTATATCTCCGCCTCTCGTTGTGAATTCATCATCTTTGTTTTTATGGTTATTTCATCTCAGGGGTCTTCAGCTCAACCATCACTGATTTGCTTTAAATGTTCTGTATTTAAACCATATCTGTGAAATTCTGAATGGAAACATCAGGTGCTTTCTAAGATACTAAAGTATTTGATATTTCTGACTAAAATTTCACAAATCTCCATATTTTATGCTTTAAAAATCTGAGGCAAATCAGAGCTGGTCGAGTGGAAATTGTTCTAAACTTTATTGATCATCAGGTTTTCAACTTTCCGACAGTCCTTGAAGGCCTCGTTTGTGACGTACTGATCCGACGTAGACGTCATATTTCATCAGAGTCGCATTTATTCTAAATGTCTCATTTTCAAATTTGCACACAGACTGACGAATCAAATTAAATCCTGTGAAAAACAAAATAATTCTGTGACAAAAATTCAGGGACTCTCCGGCTGAACTGCGGGCAGTGTTTAGTACAGAAACGATACAAAGATGTAAAATATCTTTAGTGTGTAGAGGTGGATTTTTTTAAAACAGTATTTGGGAAACACCTGGAAAAATATTGTCGATTACAGGTGTTAATTAAAAAAAATCTTTTACTGTTTCCATTTATCTGCTAGAAAAATGTGACAGGATAAAAAAAACCACAAGTCAAACATTAGAAAAGCGGTGGCATCGTTTCTGAAGACCAGATAACTGCATCGCTAACAGGACGAGTCATTCCTCCTGAGCGGTAACACGACCGGCGTCGCCTCATCATTTACGGCTACAGGCTCCATGCTGACTTACCAGTGTGTGTCTTTTAGAGTTAATCACCTCCGTTTTGTTCATCCAGTTCGACCTGCTTGTGTAACGCGTTTTCCTGCCAGGGAGGAAACGAACGAAATGAGTGAAAGCGGCACCGAAGCGAGTTCCGACGTCTTTAACCGACGGAACGTTGGCTTTGGAGCGCGCCCAAGGTTCTGCATTTTTCCTGCATGGGTCAAACGTGCAATGAGAACATTTCCTCGAACTGGTGGTAAACATGAGCGGCTTTATGCAAACACTCCACCGATCAGCACTTAACTACACGAGGGGCGAAGCAGGCAAGAGGGGAAGACTTCACTCATTTGTCACACACATAAGGTGCCTTCAAACCTCGACGGGTGACGGCTCTCCTTTTCTTGCACTAAAAGCCTCTGAAGACGTCTGACTGGGGAGGCTTTTCTTCCAACAGAGCAGCATGTGTGTTTACTAGTCTCGTTTGTTTGCTACATGTGGGCTTCTTTTTTTTTTCACTTCTCCCACAAGCCATCGATCAAGGTCAGCGTGCCATTCTGTGTGCTGAACTGAAATGGAGTGGAAACCACAGCGGCACCGTGCCCGTCGGCTCTGGAAGCACACCCACACTGATCTCCGTTTTTTCCCTGCACATGTCAAAATGTGCATTGAGGACATTTCTGGCAACGGTGGCGAACACCTGCGCTCCGCTTTGTGCAAACTGATGGGAAATGAGGGCGAAAGGAGGGAAGGAGGAGGAGGAGGGGACTCCACTCTGAACTCTAGCTTGAATTCAAACAAGTAAACTCAGCGCCAAAAAGTAAACAGCCAGACCGAACTCTGCCTTGTACCCGCTGATGATGATGCTGTCGTCGAACAGGTAGACCTTGATGTGCTGCACCCCGATGGTCTCGTTGAAGCGCTGCGGCACCAGCAGTCGCAGTAGCCCCCTCAGGTCCGGGGTGTGGTACAGGGACACCCGCATCTGGGAGGTGAAGCGCTGCAGCAGAGGCAGCAGCATGGTCCTCGAGTTGACCTGCCCTGAAACACAGTCGCACAAACACAAGTCAGCGTGGCGTGGAGGGGAGATCCCGGGAAAGGAGCTCGAGGAAAACGGCAACAAACCTCGTGATCCACGAGTGTAGTCCAGCAGCACGGACACCTTCAGGTCGGGAGAGCGACTGCTGTCCTGGGAACGCTGCAGCGCCTCCTCCATGCAGTCCACCTGAACGAAAACACATGAAAACACGATTCATTCAGATCAAAAGCACGGTTCAGTCAGACTCGTGTCGCCTCGAGCCCGGCGGAGCAGCAGGCCACACCGGTCTGCTTAACTCGGCTCCTGCAAACACAAAACAAATTGCTGCCTTGTGGCAAAGTTTCTCAAAGAGACACTTAAAATGCAGCTTTTCCATCCGACACACAGGCTTCAGCTTTAAGTTGCAAAACAATGTTCGAATTTGGAGAAAAAGAAAAAAATTAAATCAACATTTACTAACACAGCACACACTGTGCTTCATGTGCTTCTTTTGTCTGTTTGATTAAATGTTTTTGAGCTTAAATACACAAAATAAAGTGCACTCACCTACATCAACTTAAAAAAAAACCTTTCTGAAATGAAAGTTTTTAGTCGATTTTAATCATCTATTGGCAAATATGAACCAGATCTACTGCTTAAATGGTAGAACTTGATTCTGTTCTTTGTCTCATAATGATTCAATGTTTGGGTTTTGAGCTGCTAATCAGAAAAATGAAGACATTAAAAGACGTCACATCAGGCTCAAGGACATTACGACGGCGTTTTCTGAGGTTTTATCACCAAAATACCTCATTGAGAATATATTCTGCAACATTTTTCATCGGTTTCAGCTCCTTTCCTCTGCACTATATCATTATAAACTCATTCTCAAACAAAAAAAAAAGCCATATGAGACACCAACACTAAACCGTGACTAGTTTCCGTCCTGCTGATTTATTCCGGCACAAACTACGACTCTTAAACTTCAGGCCTATCAGCTCTTTTGTGAGCAGAAAACTCGTCGAGCGCATTTTTCTGGAGACAAAAGCGCTTCCTGCAGCCTGTAATTATCTTTTCACATCTCACTCAAAAACCATTGTTTTGCAAACCACAAGCGGAGATTAGAAGCCCTCCTCTGTGAGAGCAGGTGGCGGCGATGGGCAGGTTCCAGCATTCACTGTAATCAGCTGCAACTACATTTAAATATTGTCTCTGCAGCTAACGTGTGAAATTCTGGTCGCAGCTTTGACCACAATCAGCACCACGCTGATCTCCATCCTCGCAGCTGTAGATGCAAAACAAACGAACGGATTAATGATTTATGAACCGATTAATTAATGATTAATTCATCAGACACCAGCGCCGTTTTATCATGCGAGTGTGGGAAAAGCCTGACTCACCGCCGCGCTCGGGTAAGGGCGCCGCCGGTGGCCGCTTTGGCATTTGGTTCCCCCTCCTGACATCAAACCGGAGCCGCTTAACTTCTGCCTAATTGTGCATCTGGTGCCCGAGTGCATTCCTGATACGTCACCCCGCAGCGCCGCCTGTTTATATGCCAGTAAAGCGGTTCTAATTTCCAGTAGAGAGCCCTTCAGGGACGCACGTATTACCAACACTTCCAGCTCTGGAAGTTTCCTGCGGAGTAAAACTGACGACGAGTGGGAGCTCAGAGGAAGAGCTGTTTATCTCCGACAGCTGCGGATCAGCGTTATCGTGCCGTGTGAGATTTGCCTAAACTCCTACCTGCAAGAAATTAAAGAGGATCGCTTCTACTGCTCTCAATCAAACCTTCAGCAGGATTTTTATTGCTTCTCAGCACTGATTAATCCCTCGACTTTTATGTCAGAGTTAAGTTCTGATCAAAACTACAAAATCCAACGCTGTAGCTGAACATTTCCACCTTGAAACCACGCTGAAGGGGCGCCGCTATAGGTCACCTGGTTGAGCTAGTGTCCAATGTTCAGGGGCTATAGTCCCCAATGTGGAGGTCATGAGTTCGAATCCCGCTCATGGCCTTTTTCAGCAGGTTCTTCCCCCCCACTTTCCTGTCTCTCGCTTAACTGCACTTTAAAAAAAAAGGCCAAAAAAACCCAAGAAACTGCGCTGATGACAGTCCAAACAACACAAAGCCAGACTTTTCATATGAAGCAGAACTAAAGAGCAAATCGTCTCTACTTGCGAGCTGGGACTTTGTGCTTAGCTGTTCTTCAGATTTGGTTTCTGGTTTCCAACGTGTGTGAATAAATGGCTCCACTTTGCCGTCGTGCAGGTTTATGGGCCTCAATAGCCCACTTCGGGTCAGATTGTTCTACAATTCTACAGCTTCATTTTTATCCAAGAGCAGATACAACACCAGCGAGGATCTACAGTCGCCCTCAGATGTATTCATCCCCTTCCATTGAAGAAAAGGCAAAACAGTCACTCAAATAACTAGAAACTGAAAAAGTAATAATAAATAAAAATTTGCTAAATTATAATTTAGTGAAATAAGATGTTGCTTTTGGATTGTGGTTGAAAAGAATAATTTTAAAAAACAAATAAAACTGTCCTGGACACATGAGAGCCCTTTGCTGATGAGCAGTGGGTCAGAACACCTGTCAACAGGTGAGAAGTCTGAAAACACCTGATGGCAGCGATTGGCTCAAAGGGTTGTCCAACTAAATATTAGTTCACGGGTCCCATCATGCTTGTTTTATTTTTTTTTTATATTTCTGTTGATCCACAATTCCAAAGCAATGTCATGATGTTCATTACATTTTTATTTATTATTACTTTTGTCAGTTTCAGTGATTTTTTTTTACCGTCTTTGAATACATTTGAGGACGACTGTAGTCCAGAGAAAACAACCTGGACAAGCGCCACAGAACAAGTTCCCGTGTGGCAGGGCGTTGATGCCGACAGCAGGCTGATTCTACAACAACCAGATCGTTTATGAGCTTTCTCCCTTTTTCTCTTTGCATTTTGTTGCCGCGTTACTCCACTTCTTGGCACCTGTGGACAAAATTACCAGCACCTGCAGACGACGAGCGGAGTAGCGGGAAACCTGCAGAAGGAATGTGCATCTCATTGTCTCCTGCACCTACATGTGCATCCTCGAGCACGTGCATGCAACTAAAGAAAACACTCCACACAAGAAAAGTTGTATGTCAAGTGCTCTGAGCAGCCTTTGCGTATCGTGCACTGAAGACAAACATCCTTTGCTTTACATTATCAGATTATTCTCACAGCCTGCAGAGTAAACACGCCGTGCAGGTGTGACCGCGCACCGATCCGACCTCTTTGTGCCGAGCCCTGGATCGGGGCTGCGTTAGCGGATCCAGGCCCTACGTCGAAATCACACCTGCAGTTTGCATTCTTCGAGTCTAAACCGCAGACCACACTCGCATTTTTCTACTGGACGGAGTTTAGCCCGTTGCGTCCAATTTCAAGCCTGAAAACAAAAGTCACATGGACCCGCTGCACCTTATTAACTCGCATTTCTAGTAATCCATCATCCTGTGAGGTTGCAGAGTTTGGCAGCTGATTCTGATGCTTTTAGCCGTAATTAAGCATGTTGGCTTCTCCGTGCCTTTCCTATGTATTTCGCTCTGCACGCCGCTTCTCGTACCAGCTCAGGGAAAAAAAACACGAAAAACAGCTGAATGCGAGCATCAGTCCAGACTGTGGTTTGCTTTCGGTTAATGTTGTTATGCTAGGCTTTCCAGGCATGAAGAACAGCAGGCTATCACATGCCAGCGCTGGTCTCCTCATACCCATAAACCCTTGCATTCTGGGGTCATTCCTTGTAGTTGGTCTGGAGTACATTTTCATTCTGAACAAACCACAGTGCGGTCGTCCTGGAAGAGAACTCTGACTCATATTTTCTGGCATCTCTGACCAGTTATTTGGCACACGCTCATGTTTGGATGTTACTGTTCTCACCTGCCCAGAACTACAGAAGTAAAAGTAAAAAAAGAAAAAAGAAGAAAAGGAGGATCTGCTTCTCTTAAACACTTCTCTCACCAGCTCCTGCTCCAGCTGACCCGTTCCCAGATACAGCGAGGCCATCACCACTCGCCTCTGCGCCGTCTTGATACGAGCCTGAAGGGAAGGAAACAGAGAAACGAGCAATCACAACAAGAAATCAAGAGCGTGGCGATGCGCGTGTTACGAATCTGGTTACCAACGTTTGATATTGTGAAATGATAACCTATTTACTGAAACTACACTTCCTGCCAGTTACAAGAACTCAGCTGGCTCCAGGCATGAGGAAATACTCGTGAGGCCAATGTGGGGCATGAAACAACACCTCAGGTTAGCAAAATGTGTTTTTAAAATGACAAATTATGAGAGTTTCATGTTAAAACAATGTAAAAGGAGTCACTGAAGGGAGCTACCATCTGCAGCTTCTCTCAGCTTAATGAAGGCCTCTTCAGCTCACTGATTGGCCGTCCAGCCACATCAGGCAGCTGTTTTCTAGTGATTAAAACCTGAGCGCACACTACCAGCTCAGCAACTCCACACAGTTAAAACCAGCTTGTAAACACAGCAGAGGGTTTAGGAGCTACAGGGGCAGGAGGAGACCAAACATGGAGCTAAAACAGAGTGAATGGTGGGTTTGCCAGACGACTAGATAACAACTAAAAACGTACGATCACGGTGCTTCGTAACCGCCGGACGTGTACATAAAACTAAAAACTGATATCATTTCTGCTGTTCTGAAGTGGTTATCTAGTAACAGTTAAGTTTATATAAACATTGATGACATTAAAAAGCCCTGCCGTCCACCCCGTGCTGCCAAAACAGCTCTCACTTAATCGATTTCAAACCAAATCACAAATCTGCTGCAGCGTTTAAACTACGACGTCTTTACAAATTGCCCTCCTTGTGCGACCGCCTCACTTCTAGTGGTAATGTGTCACCACACGTTTTAAATCTGTTGTGTTTGACTTTGCAAAAATCACAACGAAAATTGAACCGCAACAGAAAAATTACAGTTGGACTTTTTTTTTTCAAAATTGCTCAGCGCGATCCACAATAATAAAAAAAATGTATTTACTGTTTCCAAGACAATAAAAAGCTGCAAATTCTCACGTGTGTGAAACTAGAACAATTAAATGTTCAGCTTTACAAATAAAATTACCCTTTAATGTAATAATTAAAGGATTTCTGAAGACATAATTGGCTAATTGACAGAACGGCAGCACAAGTAGAACTCTTTAAAAATGTAATTATCTGGTAATAACACGACGGGTAAATGAAGACGGTGTGATCTTGTGACAGAGTTCGTACAGGATCAGAAAACATGAACATCTTTAAAACTAGAAATCCGAGGTCTTGTTGCTGTTACCTAATGTTTCAGTTTATGCAAGTTAATCGTGCGGTTTTAATACGTGCTCGAGGAGGAAGTAATGACGAGAATTCCCCTTAATTTTGCTCAAGGCGTCACAAATATTCTGGCAGGATCACGGAACACCGAACGCATCAGTGACGAAAAGGAAAGAGCGGAGCTTGTGCCGAAACGATCATAAAAACATGCAAATAGGGATAATTATACTACACTGGCACCTCAGTGGGGAAGTGTCTATAAAGCCATAACTCACACCCACTCACACATCCTCATGCCTTTACCCACAATAAAAGACACGCCGCTTTCACCGCGACCTGTTTGTCTAGTGCAGCGTGTCGTAGTAAACCTCCTAATATAAAGTCATTCAAATACATCAGGGATCCAAGAAGTTATAAAATCAAAACACAAGAGAGAAATTTCTCCAAAACAGGATTTAAGAGTCCCCCCTTTTTCTTTTTTCTTTTTTTTTTAAAATAAATGTTTGAGCCTCTTCATGTCTCAGCCAAACGGTGGTTTTGTCTGAGGGCCGCTCGTGTCTAACTGCCACACCAGCAGCATTCAAACCACAGCAAATTCCTCTTTCTTTGTTCCTGGAGTGGCTGAGTAGCCTAAAGTTAGAGGAAACATAAAAGGATTCCAATGTGTTGACACACAGCAGGTGTGCTAAAAAAAGAAGCAAGAACATAACGCAAAAAAAAAAAAAGATGCAGCATGCCGGTGTTTTAACTCAAACTGCAAATTTTATGGTGTTTTTTTAACGACGGATTCACCCAGTGCCCGACTTTATAGACAGGAAGTCCAACATGCACACTTCTTGTCTTTTAAGATCACTTTAGCTGGTAAAAAAATCATTTCAGGATGCCAATTTCCTGAAACAGGGCGGACGTTTTGAGAGAGAAACGCCTAAATAAATAAGTCCTGCCAGCTGCAGTGCGCTTCAACGCAAACTCAGGTGCTGCAGAATACACAAGGAAGATGTAGCTGAGAAATGAATCCTCCCTCTGAGTGTTTTTAGGCCACATTTGCCATCATACAAACTATACTTACTATATAAAAAGTCAGCAATCTGAACTCTAACACTTGCCAGCAAGTTTGAAAAGCACGCTGTCTTTACTAAAAACATAACAAATAACGGCCAAAATTCCATTTGTCGGCGCCAGAAACTGTCAAAACGTTGTTGGATTTTGACATTCCTGCCTCTGTGATGCGGCGTTTAGTTGGAAAACTACCCCAATCTAAGCTTAAAAATGTGATCTTCCATGGCTTTATTCAACAAGTTTTGTTTAAAAATGAATCACAAAACATAAACCGCCTGCAGTAACCAGATTTCGTCGAAAACTATAAAAATGTGAATAAATATGTGAGTCATGACGTATCTACAGTGTGCATTGTCAGTATCGGTAACATCTGGGTGCTCGTACAGAAATGTTGTGTACATTGAGTCCAGGTTTTTATCAATTTTTAAAAAAAAGAAAAACACAGTGATGCACGATATTACAATTTCTGGCCAATACCGATATTGGAATTTTTCTGATATCGCCGATATTACAGATGTCGATATTTAATTTTTGTTCACATCGAAAAATGGGTATAAATAAGCACTGTGAGAAACTATTCAAAAGAAGCCCAAATTAGACCACATAGTCTACTTCACTCCGTAACAAAAGTAAAACATTAAAACATATTTTAAGTCAACGACCATTTAAGTAAAAACATCTGTGAAATAGCAGCGATAACCAACGTAGAGACGAAGGCGCTGATGTTAGACAATCAGCGGCCTTCACATCGGCTAAATTTGTTCAGCGGACCGATACCGATATATGGGGAAAAGCACAAATATCGGCCGACACAGATATCTGATATTGAGATTTCTGATATCGCCGATAACCGACATTATTGATGTTGATAGTCCAGGAGCATTTAAGTAAAAACATCTGTGAAATAGCAGCAATATCAAACGTAGAGACGAAGGCGCTGATGTTAGGCAATTATCGGCTAAATTTGTTTATCAAACCGATATCGATATATGGGAAAAAAAACGCGTAATATCGGCCGATAGCAATGTGGTCGCCGATATATCGTGCATCCCTAGAATAAAAAAAAACTAAGTCAAAGAAATTCTTCTTGTTTTTATAAATTATGACACAATAACTACATAGAACACGTCTGAGTTCTCTCTACTTCCAGCCATGTTTGTGTTGTTTCCAAACAGGTGCAGGATTTTGTATTGCAGTGAAAAAAGAAAAAAAAAAAACGCTCAGAAACATCTTTCCCTGTGACACGGACCTTCATGGTCTGGTAGAACTGGTCAGGTGAGGTCAGGATGTGGACGTGGGCGCCCGGCACCCTGAAGGCAGGAACGTGTTCCGCCATCCATCGGAAGTGGGAGCAGAGGCCGTCTGTGCCCTGAGCTCCGGCGGACCCGGTGGGCCTGGAGACGCGACGTGGAGCCGGGTCGGCTTCAGCCAGCAGGGGAGCCAGCAGGAGAACGGAGGACCTGCAGGACACACAGGGACAACAAGATATTAATGTTATGCTGCAGAAAACAGCAATCTTCTACCAACAATGTGTTCCCTTCCTGTTGTTTGGTACGAGATCTCGGCTGAGAGTTTACTGATCCTAACCGAGGTTGAAGACCATCAAGATTTAAAATGTAAAAGAACTCAGGTCAGTCAGTATCACCAACATTATTTCTATTTGCTAAACACCAGAATAATGAGAGAGAATTTTTTACTACTTTCTTCAAAGTCAGAAGTTTCCATCCATCTCCTCAGTATCTGGCAGCGTTGCCTTTAAACTGCATCACTTGGGTCAAACGTTCTGGGTTTCCTTCCACAAGCTTCTCACAACAGTCTGATGAGTTCTGGCCCATTCCTCCTGACAGAACTGGTGGAACTGAGTCAGGTTTGTTGGTCTTCTTGCTCCACTAATGTTCTCCAGGATGGAGATCAGGGCTTTGTGTCAGCATCTTCACAAGGTCTTCAGCTTTTGTTCTGGGGTTGAGTCGCACATTTCAACCAGAACACTTCATCTCTGGGACACAGAACCGTCTCCTTCCTGAGCCTATGATGGCTGGACATTCCCATGGTGGTTATACTTGATGTGATTGTTTGAACAGATGAACGTGGAACCTTCAGGCATCTGGAAGTTGAACCCAAGGATGAACCAGACTGGTGGAGGTCCACAGTTCTCTTCCTGATATCTTGGCTGATGTCTTTAGATGTTCCATGTTGTCACAAAAGGAAGCAGCGTGTCTGAGGTGTGCCTCCAATTAACTCAGATGTTGTCAATTAACCAATCAGAAGCTTCCAAAGCCATGACATCATCATCTGGACTTCCCAAAATAGTTTGAAGGCATCTTAGTGGATGTAAACTTCTGACTTTGAAGAAAATAGTAAAAAATAAATAAAAATTCTCTCTCTCATTATTCTGGCATTTAGGAAAACAGAAATAATTCTGGTGATCCTAACTGACCTAAAACTGGAAGGTTGAGCTGATTTAATGTCAGACAGTAAGAAAATAAAGGTTTAGTGTCTTTTTATACAGCGTGTGTAAACTTCTGGTTTCAACTCTAGATCCATAAAAAGAAAAAAAAAAACATTCTTTATTGGTATTTTTACTGCCTTCAGAAGGTGATTTTCGGGATGTAATCGTCATTTTACTGACCTTGAAAGCCTGAATTTACTTTTTAACCCTCTGCAGACGCCCTGCTTTCTATCCAGAGAGCAGAACAACTGATAATTAATATGAATGGCTGCAGCTCTGCATGCATTCAAATGAACTAAAAAGACTTTCAGTTAAAACTTAACGCAACTAGCCGATAACAACATAGCAGCAATTTTTACTCTTATCTTTTTCACACACAGCTCATTGTGTGCCACAACAAAGGTGTGTATAGTAGGGTTAAGATGCGATAACATTCTGTTTACAAAACTGTGTCGCCCAGATTAGAGATTCCAATCAAACTGTATGTCAAAATTAATGAAAGTTAGCTACTGTTCAAACAGTTTAGTCTTCTGTTGGGGATCACGGGGGGACAGTTCACTGTGATTGACTGACAATGATCTCAACACAAGGTCCATTCAAAAGCTGCTCTGAAGCTTCAGTCACACAATCTGAGCCGATGGACTTTGTCGTGACAGCGACGCATCAACGGCTGTTTCCGAGAAAACCTGTAAAATCGTCGTGACTATCTGTAAGTGTGTTGTTTCCACCATATACCCACTATGTGGTGATGAGTTATTGCACAAAGTTCTTATCAGTGCAGCCCAACTCTGTCAAACTTGCTCAAAATAAACACATTAGAATATAAACTGGTGCTTCTCTGATAAAAAAAAACCTTATTTGTTCTCTCCTAAATGCATGTTTTTCTGTTTCTTCCTTTTATAAGCGTAACTGGAAATCCAGGTCGCATGAATGCTTTCCCAGAATGATGCATTCATGGGAAGCTGCACCTGCACGTTCTGTGTTTTGCGTCGCTCGGGGAGACCTCGTCAGACAGAACCGCTCGAATGTGTGTTATATCACAGGAAAACAATCGTTTCGCAGGTGTTGCGTTTTCGTGCCTCGCAGCCACCCGCGGCGGCTCCAGTGTCAGACGCCAGAGATTCTTCCCATTACATCAGCACACCACACTTATAATAATAATAATAATAATAATAGCTTCACATGATATGACAAATGGTGAGAAGGCAAACTGAGGCACCAGTTTATTGGGTACAAGCAGCTCCAATGAAGGAAACAGTCGCCCCACTGACATTCTAACGTTCACCATTTGTCAACACTGTTTTATAGACGTGTTGAACTGTGCCATTGTGTTGGAGGATGTAGTTTGTGGGGCTGCCGAGTTGTAATGCGACAGGTTTGCGTTGCTGCTGTTCAGCTCTATTTATTTTATTGCTTAGATATTTTGTAAATGAGGCCACCATACCTTAAACAAAGGAAACGTCTGCCAACATTGTTGTTAGCTAACAAGTAAACTAGACTGCGTGTTTGTGTGCTACCTGTAATGCCATTACACAACACACCAGTACAGGATTTATTGTGAACCAGTGCATAGTTTCTTGAATGCAGTTTGCCAGGAATACCAGGGTATCCCACTACATTCAGCTGCACTTCGCTGTTTGAACGCCAGCGTGCTTTTCTGGTTACTCTGACCCACAATCCTCAAAACAGCTGAGATGCATCACGTACGTCAGAATGTCTCACGCGAGCAAAAACAAGATTCAGGCCTGAAAACAACGGCACTCGTTTCATGCTACAGACCGTGACGGAAAATGAGGCGGTTTGGAAGGCAGGCGATGTTTCAGAGGTCTAGAAATGCTGCCGCTGATTAACCTTGATGCCAATTTATTCCCCGGTGGCCACTCGTGGTACTGCATGTGGCCCAAACTTTTCGTACAATTATGCAGGAGACATCGACAAAGCTGTTGGGAGAACATCAGGCTTCTTCTTCTTTTTTTACTCTTTCTCTTAAGACTTTTTAATCCATGGTGGTTTAATGTCTTACAAAACTTCC